TTTTAAAAATATAATGAAACTATATTTCCATATAATTAGGTTTCAAGAGCTTAGAAAATAATATTCGGAGTAAAAGACCAAATAAATAATTAAATAAACAAGAAATAGGAGATTAAATAAGTAAATTTTGCGAGTCCTCACAAGTTTTGCCATCAGGTTTTTCTATAATATTTTCTACCTCAGTTCGTTCTATATTTCTGGCTATTTGTGGATTTTGTATTTCAAATTCATTCGGTATAGTTATTTCATTTCATTTTAATCTTTTTGGAGTATAAGTAGTAGGTCTATCGGCATCTACTTGTAATAAGGTTGTTTCTTCTTTAAGAGTTGGAGTCATTATAAATTTTGGATTTAGATGTGAGGATAAAGGTCTATAATATATTCTATATATTACTGCAAAATTTTTTGTATATTTTTCAAATTCATTTTCTTGTAGATGAATATCTAATATGACAGAATTCAGAATATGTGGGTCTGTTAGATCTATTGAAAAATTTGGAGCACAGTTAAAATATATGGGTCCATTACAAACATTTGTTTGAATCATAGAAAGTAAAAAAGTTTTATATTTTTTAAGTCTAGTGTCTCTTAATGCCAAATATATTGGTGCATTGACTCCTAGATGGAATAAAGGTTTTACTGCAATTTGTATTAAACCTATATGAATATATCGATATCCTTTACTTAAATATTTTTGAATTGTACTATGATTTAATAATGGAATAGATTGATATTCTTCTTGAATAGATATTATTTCTTCATGTGTTTTAACTGATAAGGCAGTTTTGAAATCTAAAGGACCTATTCTATAAATATGTTCTATCTTTTCTTCTGAAATTGTCCAGTCTGAATTATTAACAGGCATATGATATTCATGACTTTGTACTATATTATCTTGTTTTGAATTAGATTCTATTTTTAATTGTCTAAGAAATGCAGCCATGTTATATATTTAATTAAAATTTTACCTAATCAGGAACAACTGAGCACTATGCCGGGAACATCCTATTCTGGACTTACCAACGGTCTAACAAGGCATCAAAGTCTTACCAATGATTTCAGTAAAAGTTTAATAAAATATGTAAACATAAATGCATGAATTAGCCAAATCAAAATAGAAGCGTAATTCAAAAAAAATAATAGTAGTTCAAAATCTTAAATATGCATTTGCATGTGAATGTCTGTGGCTCTGATACCACTTCTACCCAGGCTACTTCTTTCTATTGAAATGTTCATAGAAATTTAGTATAAAATTGGACTTACTGAAAATTTAGGGTGGCCTTTGATAACGGAAGCTTGTTGAATGTTGTAATCCTTGATCGTCTTATTAAAATATTTGGAGAAGTGTACAAGAAGGTTGAATACAAGAGTAGGTAGGGGAAGTTTGGAATTTTGCTAAGGAATTTTCTATAGAACAAAGTTTTTGTTCTGCTAATTCACCTATATCTTTGCTATCAGAGATTGAATCTATTTATAGACTCGTCTCATTTGTGCATTTCATCTGCATTTGAATTTCATTTGCTTTCTTTGCAATGTGGCCGACATCCTTGAGTAAGTAGTTGATATCTTTTTCAAAAGTCATTTGGGTCTTGTCCGCATGGTCCACCAACCGGATCAAAATTGGATTCGGATGATCCTGCTGACTCTTCAATTTTGTCGGTTTCTTCATCCTTATCTTGCTTTGTAAATAATCTAAATATTCTCTGAGCATCTCGGGATTTTGCATCATCTTTTTCATCAAAAAGTCGTTTGTAGTTGCCTCGGATACTATACTGGTAACTTTTTCTTTATCTCTTCTTTTTGGAGTGGTTGGAGTGGGTAGAATAGTGGTTGAAGTTGGTGGCATGTTTGTTGGAGTAGGTGACATAGTTGTTAGAGTAGTAGTTGGCTGTTTTGTCCATTTAAACTTGTCCCCAGTTGTTAGGAATCTTATCACATTTGCTTGGTTTCCATATTCTTGATTGAATCCTGTCCACCATTTAATCTTGAATTCTCTGACTAGTGACATTGGAAGTGGTTTTTCTAGATCTTGATAAATTTTGAAACTCCAACAAAATATCCATGGTACTTTGAACTCCATATGGAATAATATTGGTCTTGTATATTTCTCCCCCCTTGCTTTTTTGAGATAGGTGAATTAGCAGAACAAAAACTTTGTTCAATCGAAAATTCCTTAGCAAAATCCCAAACTTCCCCTACCTACTCTTGTATTCAACCTTCTTGTACACTTCTCCAAATATTTTAATAAGAAGATCAAGGATTACAACATTCAACAAGCTTCCGTTATCAAAGGCCACTCTAAATTTTTAGTAAGTCCAATTTTATACTAAATTTCTATGAACATTTCAATAGAAAGAAGTATGTTAGTGCTTCTTCCATTACCAATCCTTCTTAGTATCCTTTTTCAATGTGACCCCTAGCTTCCATTAGTCCTTTTCAGATCCAAGATGCATTGCTTTGTGCTTTACATGTGAGATTGACTTTTTGGGAAAATACTTAGCTTTCAATACTTTGCTGACCAAAAGATTTGGTTTGATCAGTAGTCTCCAGATTTGTTTCCCTAGCAGAGCTTTATTAAAAGCTTTCAAGTCCTTAAACACCAAACCAACTTTCTTTCTTCCTTGGGCCAATTTTCTCTAAGAAATCCAATGCATTTTATTTTTCCCATTAGCTTCTCCCCACCAATAATTTGCCATGGCAGAGCTAAGGTCCTTGTAAAGTTTTCTAGGCAATTTGAAGCATGACATCACATAGGTTGGCATAGCCATTGTAACTTCTTTTAGCATGACTTCTTTTCCTACGGAACTAAGAAGCTTATTTTTCCAACTTTCTAGCCTTCGTTTTATGTTGTCTATGATGAAACCAAAAATTTGATACTTTGTCCTTGACACAACCATGGGGAGACCTAGATATTTTCCTTGTTTCACTTCTTCCATATCCCCTAGTGTAGTGTAGATTTCTTGCTTCTACCTGTTTGTCAGGTTCTTGCTAAAAAACATAGATGATTTGTCTAAGTTGATCAATTGACCAGAAGCCTTTTCGTAGATCTTCAGAAATCTACTTGAACTCCTCAACTTTGCAAAAAATGAGAGAGTCATTAGCAAAAAAAAGATGAGTAATGTTGGGACCTGGTCTACTGATTTCAAATCTTTTAGTCTTCTATTTTCTACAGACCTTTTAAGCAAATTAGAGAAACCTTCTGAGCAAATCAAGAAGAGTTTAGGTGAGAGTAGGTCTCCCTGCCTTATCCCTCTTTCTGGTCTTACAAAACCTTTGATTTCTCCATTGCAGTTAAAGGAATAAGAGACTATCTCCATATAGCTTGAAATTCATTTGATCCACTTCTCACAAAAATCCATTTTCTGCATCATTGCTTCAAGGAAGTGCTACTCCACCCTATCATATGCTTTAACCATGTCTAACTTGATAGCCGTATACCCCTCTTTTCCTTGCCTTTTGTTTTTCAGAAAATGTAGGTATTCATGAGCAATGATCACATTATCAAGGATTTGCCTATCTGGAATGAAGCGGATTGGTTTTACTCAATCTGCATTTGCTCGTGCTAATTTGTCCTTCCATTCCTGAGCTCTTCCTAGATCTTTTTTCTAAGACCCACCCATTCTAATTGTTCACTTACAAGGGCATAAGTACATGTATAATTTCAAAACTTCATTTTTGTATTCATAGATGCACATCATCTCTTTTATCACAAAAATATAATTTGCATGTTCAGACAATTTAAACTTCATGAATATTAGCATATCATGATAAAATCATTGTATATCATTCGTATTGACCATTATTTAAACTTATAAATTGATTCATATTGTCATTGAGGCTGAGTACTTAGCTTAGTACAGTGGATGAAACCATAGCTATAAAGAATGCTCCGATCAATGACTTTGAAGAGAACCCATGAAATTGATTTAGCTTTAATAAACATAATATATTTTTTTCTTTGTATGACATAAAAGAAAATGAAAGGCATGTTAGAATAGAGTTTCTATTCTTAATTTTATGAAAAATTTTGATTTTGTTGAATGTCTAGTATCTAATATATATCAACTCTTTTGTTCACTCTAATCCCTATAAAAGTGCTAATTTATAAGGTTATATATTGTTGTAATCACATGTTTTCATGTATTCAGAATAAGACCTGTATGATTAACACTTGCATAAAATGTACTGATTCCTTTTTTTTTTGTCTTTAAAAATTTGATTAGAAAAATTCTTGAAATCTTTGATTTATGAAAATCCTAATTTGTATTAGTGTTAGTGATTGGCCTTCATGCTTTGATTGAAATAGATAAAACTAAGATGTTGGAGTTTGATGTATCTAAAGATAATCTTAAGGGAAATTCACCAATTTGATCCCTAGACTTTTACACTAAAAACGATTTCATCTTTTATGATTTTTTAAAACCAATTTAGTCCTCAAACTATTTTTCCTTTTTTCAATGTAGGACTTCTACGGCAATGCTACCACATTTACGTATTTAGTGCAATTAGTTAGGAGTAAATTTGTCTCGTTACATTACACTGTCTATATTAAAGAATTAGAATATGACAAAAACTTACATAGGCTTGGCCACCGGCAAGATTGTGGACCATTAGAACATAAATAAGCCACATTACTTCCATACAAATTTAATTTTTAATGCTAAATAGTCCTCACAAATTCTTCCCACCGCTGTGTGTTTTAGAGAAAGAAATATATCCGAAGAAGATCTAGCCAATGTCGGAACAAACAAGCGGCCAGCTTGCTGTGTTTTTGTACTAACTAAACCCACAAAAGAGGAATTTAGGCAGGAGGAATAAGAGAAGCTAAAGGCAGACTGTGATCAAGTTACACTTTTTTTTATTTGTAAAACTATAGGCTTCATCAATCAAACGCATGGCAAAATCCTTTGCCCAACAGTGCAGAAAAGATAAAAAATATATAATATATAAGGCAACCTATTGCATTAACATTCCAAGTGCAATAGCATGTACTCTATAAATCATTTAGATGAATTAGGACACTCAATAGTTCCAACTTCAATTGGGCACTGAGATATATATGGTTCTAGCTTAAAGCCTATCAAATCTGGAACAACATAGTTAGGTAGCTTTTTCTTGCACCACCACATAACCACCTTGTGAGAGTGAAAACTAGTAGGCTTGCAATTCTTTTCCTGATAGTAATCGCGAGAGCCTCTTTTGGAAGTGAGAATGTCCAGTGAAGAGGTCAACTTCCTCCTGAATGCTGACCATGAAGAATATCTCCATTCATGAAGTCCACATGTCCCATACTTCTTATTCTTTTTTTTTTCCCGTTGGCATGAATTCATATTTTTCTTCATGAGTTTCACTGAGTAGTTTTCTTATTTTGTAATTTAGTTGGTAGGCAAACAATAGAATTAATGAACCAAATATAAAGACTAAAAATTCATATTGCCATTTCTGCTAACGTGACAAAATTATGCCTGACTGGTCGTGCGAAATATGTAAAATGTGGTAGCACTGTCATAGAAGTCCTACATTAGAATAGGAAAAATAGTTTGGGAACTAAATTGGCTAAAAAAATCCACGAAGGATGAAATCAATTTTAGTGTAAAAGTTTAGAAACCAAATTGGCGAATTTCACTAATCTTAGTTTATATCTAACTGACTAAGAGGGTCAAGTATTGGTAAGTTTGATTTTTACTCATCAAGTTGAGAATTGCACGCATGAATTAACACAACGCAGTTTTTGTTTGTGCGTTACTTTTTAGATATTTCTGCTTGAATTAACACTCCACATTTTCTTTTGTATGCTCTTATGATTTGTTTCTTTCTCTTGTCACATACACACTGTGCAATATGTATAAAAATAATATGGTACCTTCACATATAGAGACCAAATGTTCCCATTATGAGTTAGATGCCTATTGAAGATAAAATACTATAGAATTGATTATTTAATGTGTTTCAATATGTACAAATTTAAATACTAAGTATGTAAATTCAAAATTTATGGGATTGCACATTATCTACACCTTATTTACACACACTGATTTACTTGTATTATCAATACATTTTTCAACCACATTTTTATCTCACATATATCATATCAAAAAAGTGCTACAGTATTTTTTCAAAACATTATCCCAAATAGTCTTCTATCCAAACACACTTGTATTTTTGACATCAATGTCGAATGGCATTTAAGTTCAAGTTAGAATTTTGATATACAAGCAATTGAAAAAGAATTGATAGGTTGCAATTTTATCATTTATTTTATTATTAATTTTTCCTATTACCTGACCTAATGTGGATTAATTGCTAGATTCTACTCACTTTTGATATTTTGCATTTATTTCAGGGAGTAGAACGAAAATATAATAACAGGTGCTAATTTGGCAAGAAAAGAGTTCAGATGATAGAGTTTGTCCTGGGGGCATTTTTGAAACAATAAAATGTGAGCCCTTGTTAGGCAAATTGGGCCGAAGTCTTCATTTTTCCGCGCACAGGAGCCGCCGCAAGGAGCACTACTTTATATAGGAAAATTGCGCAGGAAAAAGGGTCACTTCTTCCTTTCCGGAAGGGGAGCCGCCGCACGTTGGAGAGCACTTAGATAGAATAGGAATTGAGATTGCAGGGAATGAGCACTACCTTTTTGTCTTCTTTAGTTTTTCGTCTTGTAGCATAGCTTAGGACTTTGACTTTTCTTCCTTTAGTTATTAGCAGCCTTTTTTTTTTCCTTCTTGTGTGTCAGACGAAAGGGAAGCTATGAATTACCTTTTGTAGCATTACTATCTATTCGATATTCGGACAAGTTGAATTTTCCAGATTTCAAAGGATAATGGCTGCGTTTCTCGCTTCCCTTTTGTATGGGTTTAGTTCATCAAATATGAACTAATTCCCTCGCTTTAGTCAAAGGACAATGGATGCTCTGATTCGCCTAAAAATTGTGAGATTGATTTAATTTTATCTTTTTCTTTTATTTATTGGTATTTGCATATTCTCTAATTGTAGTGCTTATGATTGTTTAATTAATTGATTGTCTTGGATCCGGATAATTAGTTAATTTAATAATCTATTGTCAATTGAGGTGTTAAATCCGTAATTGTTTAATTACCTCAAAATAGTGACAACTGGCATGATTAGATTTGTGTCGGGGGAATACGCGGGCTAATCTAAAATAACCCTGGTAGTGCGTTATTTGGTTAGAATAGGGCTCCTCTAATATGTAAGGCAATTGGGGAATTAAATTCTACGGGTGTACCTAGAATTATTTCTCAATTAGAGCAGTGATTAACGGGCGTACCTTGATCACCGACACAGTAAGGAGGGGTTGACTGCCATCGCTTGTTTGGTAGTTATAACCTATTTATTGATAAATAATTGGAATTGCCTTTGTTTCGATGATCGATTAGGTGAACCATTGCTGAAGTTATTTCTTGGCTAGATCCTTAATTATCACTCATTAGATTTTAGTAAATTGTTATTTAATTTCTAGTTTGTTATTTTATTTTTATTTTTATTATTTTACTTTTAGTTGAATTGTTTAAATTATCACCTTCTGCGCAAAAACACTCCCTTTGTCACTGTGAACTTGAAAAGAAATAATTACTCCCAATCCCTGTGGATTCGACCCTGCTTACCGCTATCTACAGAATTAACTTTAGTTTGAGCAGGTTTTATTATTGCACAGGTTTCGACAACCTGTCAATTTTTGGCGCCGTTACCGGGGACTGGTGCCAGATTAATTTGTTTCCTTTTGAGTTCATCTTATTTTATTTTTTTATTTATTTTTCTCTTATTTTTTTATATAGTTTATGGCTTCTAACACTTCGTATTTTGGTGATGTACTGGATTTTATTTCCGGGGAAGGCGATGAGATTTGTTTTTTTCCTGATTTGGCATATGCAGAGGCAGTAAACTCTATTAGAAAAAGAATGGGTGCTGCAACATGTAAAATTTGTTATGCCAGGGATCATTCAACCAGTATGTGCCCCGAATATCAAGATAATCTGAGTGTTCCACTCAATAATTATGGAGATTTTTCACCCTGGTCTCAAACGGGGTATAACCCTAATCCATACGGGTATGATCAAGGAGGGTGGGATAACTCCAATTATAATTATTCAACGGGGCCAATGAATTTTCAGCAGTATGAGTCTCAAGAATCGGCATCTATGTCAGGTATGTCTCTTGAGGAAATAGTTGAACCAATAGCTACTAACACATACCAATTCCAACAGGAGACACTAATGGAGAATGAGATGATGAAAGATGCATTAAATTATCTGGCAGATCAACTATGTCTATTGACATCCAGAATGAATCGATTGGCTTCTCAAAAGGAAGAACTGTTCTCGAAAACCATTGTTGATCTAGAAGAAAATGAGAGTGCAATTTGCTTGACTAGTGATGAGGAGATGCAAGAGTGTCAAAATGAGAAATCTACAGATGCAGTTGAAAAAGAAGCCGAAAAGGAAGAAATAGAACCCCAACCGCAACCCATTCAAGTGAAAGAATCCAGTGAACAATCTCCAAATGCGGTGACATCTCCTCCACTCCTTCATCAATATCCTCCTGACTCTTACTCTTCAATTCCTGTTAACGAAATTGACTTTATTATACCAGACAATTTTGAATTTCATGACAGGAATGAATTAAGAGTGGCGATGGCGAGATATCTTGAATCAATAAATGCAAGTGGGGGAGGAGTGAATGGAGAATGCAAATTATCATCGACTCGTTTGGCGCCATTCACTAGTCCATGGAAGCCCGTAGCTTGTGTGCTCAAAAATTATTCTATTTACGAGGGTTATCAGGACTATATAGAGGATGAAACATTAAGACGAGCTACAAAATTTTATCCGCCATGAGCAAAACGTGATAATGTCTAGCCAAAGACATTAAAGAAAGGCGCTCATTGGGAGGCAACCCAATTTCTTTTAGTTGTTTGTTTGATTTTATTTGTTAGTTTAAATATGTTTTTCCTTGAATTCGACTGATTTTGGGTTTCAATTTTCGTTTTTGCTGATTTATAGGTGCCCTTCAGTCATGACGCGCCCGCGTGGTGACGTGCAGGAAACTCACTATCAGAAACTTCTGGGAGCTCCCTTGCTCTCTTGACGTGCCCGCGTCACGTTCGCGGGACAGGTAAGAATGCAAAAAAAAAAAAAAAAAATCACACAGAAACTCTTTCTTATCAACGTAGCTTTAGTCTCAAATATTAAAATAAAAATAAAAAAAAATTTGTGAATTAAATTAATTTTCGAAAAAAAGAGAAGAGAAGAGTTAAAAAAAAAAAAGGAAAAAAAAAGGGGACATATTTTTTCACCGCAGCTTTGGTTTCCAAATTTCAAAAAAAAAAACGAGAATTCCTTTCTTTTTCTTTCTTCTTTCTTTCTTTTCTTTCTTTCTCTCTTCTTCTTTCTTTCTCTTTTCTTACCCCGCTACTCCCCTTCTCTTTGCGCACGCCGATCGAGAGCCGCGCCACCACCGCTGCCCACGGACGGCCACCTCTCGCTCGCTCCACCAGCCCACATTGGCGCCGCCGCTTTCCACTCCTGCCCGCAACTCCTCGAAAAGGCTCGCGACTCCAGTGGCCGGCGCAGTCGCCACTTCACCTCACGCTCCAGCCGCGGCCACACTGCGAGCCACCGCCGCTCTGTCGCGGCTGTCCAGCTCTTCCCGCCAGCCACGCGCGCTCTGTCCAAGCTGCCGCCATCGTTGCTGGAGACGCGCGCCGCCGCTGCTCTGTCTGCCGCCTGGAGTAGTACCAGTGGAGGTATTTGACACTTGCTCCCCAATTTCTCAGTGTTAATCGGTGCTATTTGGGTCCCTGCATATTTGGGTTATTTCCACCAGTGGTACTGGTTGGCCTGCTTTCACTTGGAATTGCTGCTTATTTTGGGTTCATTCTACTCTATGGGTTGGTTGATTGGAATCTGAATGCCTGAGATTAAGTTGTTCTTGCCCGATTGCGGCGCTATTATTACTTATATTGTTTACTGCTTGGCCTCTTGCTACGGGACAGTGCTGGGGCCATTTGTTCAGAGCTTTGGGGGGGGGGAATTGTTTAGTTTTTGGGTGGGTTGGATTTTCGCAGTTGTCTGTGATAATTGGAAGGACTCTCGGCCAGGGTGGTGTTTGTTGAAATTTTGATTGATTTAATTCGGCAACTGCATTCCCTGTTGGCATTAGTAGTTTTTAATCGAGTTTTTGAGGACATTCTGGATGTTGGTTTATATTGCTAATTTGGAGGAGCAGTGTCTGTGATTTTGGTCTGATCATTTGTGCAATTTGTTGACTCATTTGTGGACTTATTTGTTTCCTGGGTTTGTTTATTGACTCCGGTGGACTGGGTTCCCACCTACGGTTCCTCTACTTGCTCTATTCATTGGAATTCTAGTCTCCTGTTGCTCTTCTTTAGAGGTTTAGAATCTTTCTTGTGACTAGATTAATACTTGGGGCTATTACTTTACTACTGTTCTACTCTGCTATAATAATTTCATAGATTTTGGCCTACGTTTTGCACCAGTGGTACTGGTTGGGGTATTTTGATTAACATTTGTTATTTCCAATTGGTTGGCTACCTGATTGTGATTGTGTGGTTATTCTCCAATTTCTATACTGCTATTGCTGGAATTGCTGCTTTTGAGTTGAGAAATTAACTATCTACTTGGAGGCTTTGTTGAGATTTTGGGTGACAGAGTTCTGCATTCGCTGGTTGAATTGAGTTGAGATGTCTCAGACCTTGGCTGCATACTTCTATCACATCGGTTTCTGTGCACCGTTCCTGCCTACCCTTTCGCCACTCGTGAGGGAAGTTTTGTTGCCCTCTTCGATTTAATTGCTTTAATCCCTCCATTGAGGACAATGTAGGATCTAGGTGTGGGGGGGACAGCTGTGCTAGTTTCTTTTTCTAGTTTTAGTTTTCAGATATGTTTCTTTTATTTTTAGTCTGTTATTTGTCTAGTTTTCGTTTACTTTTTGTCATTTATCTGTCTAGCTCTCCTATGACTGCCAAATTTGATGTTGGATTGTTGCCCCTATTTCTACTTTTGCCAAGTTTTAATAATAAGAATGTGTCGAGTTAATGTGGTTGAATCCAAGAGCATTCCTTTGGTGAATATCAGTGATTATGTAGCTCTTATAATTTTTGGTTAACTTTCCTAGGCATAGGGAATGATTATTGGCATTTTCATGTGAATTGGTCCGGTTATTAACTTTAGTTCTCCATGTTTGAAAATGAGACTAGCTGATGCAAGTTTTCTTTTGGTTCTTGTGTTATATTGAGTTTTTGTGATTTTTGGTTATGAATGAACTTGACTGTACTCCGCTAGTATTTACTATCGAGTAACCGGGGATTTTCACCAAAAGTATTGATTCTCGCGTCAAAAGGTAGTAATTCCTATGAGTACGTGGTCACGTGACGATAGAAGCTGAGTAATCGGGCTCCTTCATCTGGCCAATGTTGGAGTTCGCGTCAAAAGGCTTCAATGGCCAGAGACTAAGTCTTTTGTTACTATTAAGAAAAGTAAAAAAAAAAAATCAAAAAAAAAGCAAAAGTAAAAAAATGTGATAAAAAAAAATGGAAGTTGTATTAGTATATAATAACAGTCAGCTTGCCGATTTATGGATTTAATGTTGAGATTTTGGTTAATAGTTGGACCATTTGCTGATAAATGTTATGCGTCATTCCTTTTTCTTAGATTAGTTAACCTGAAATTAGAGGATCTTGTGGTTTAGAAGCTAACCGGAGTGATGTTTCTTGGACTTGACCATTGATGCTTGATATATGTTTTTCTTGGTGTCTTGGCAATATGGTAGATGGAGTAATGACCACTATCAAATATTGGTGTTTGTTTGTTGTTCTCATGCTTGAGGACAAGCATGGTTTAGGTGTGGGGGGAATTGATAGGTTGCAATTTTATCATTTATTTTATTATTAATTTTCCCTATTACCTGACCTAATGTGGATTAATTGCTAGATTCTACTCACTTTTGATATTTTGCATTTATTTCAGGGAGTAGAACGAAAATATAATAACAGGTGCTAATTTGGCAAGAAAAGAGTTCAGATGATAGAGTTTGTCCTGGGGGTATTTTTGGAACAATAAAACGTGAGCCCTTGTTAGGCAAATTGGGCCGAAGTCTTCATTTTTCCGCACAGGAGCCGCCGCAAGGAGCACTACTTTATATAGGAAAATTGCGCAGGAAAAAGGGTCACTTCTTCCTCTCCGGAAGGGGAGCCGCCGCACGTTGGAGAGCACTTAGATAGAATAGGAATTGAGATTGCAGGGAATGAGCACTACCTTTTTGTCTTCTTTAGTTTTTCGTCTTGTAGCATAGCTTAGGACTTTGACTTTTCCTCCTTTAGTTATTAGCAGCCTTTTTTTTTCCCTCTTGTGTGTCAGACGAAAGGGAAGCTATGAATTACCTTTTGTAGCATTACTATCTATTCGATATTCGGACAAGTTGAATTTTCCAGATTTCAAAGGATAATGGCTGCGTTTCTCGCTTCCCTTTTGTATGGGTTTAGTTCATCAAATATGAACTAATTCCCTCGCTTTAGTCAAAGGACAACGGATGCTCTGATTCGCCTAAAAATTGTGAGATTGATTTAATTTTATCTTTTTCTTTTATTTATTGGTATTTGCATATTCTCTAATTGTAGTGCTTATGATTGTTTAATTAATTGATTGTCTTGGATCCGGATAATTAGTTAATTTAATAATCTATTGTCAATTGAGGTGTTAAATCCGTAATTGTTTAATTACCTCAAAATAGTGACAACTGGCATGATTAGATTTGTGTCGGGGGAATACGCGGGCTAATCTAAAATAACCCTGGTAGTGCGTTATTTGGTTAGAATAGGGCTCCTCTAATATGTAAGGCAATTGGGGAATTAAATTCTACGGGTGTACCTAGAATTATTTCTCAATTAGAGCAGTGATTAACGGGCGTACCTTGATCACCGACACAGTAAGGAGGGGTTGACTGCTATCGCTTGTTTGGTAGTTATAACCTATTTATTGATAAATAATTGGAATTGCCTTTGTTTCGATGATCGATTAGGTGAACCATTGCTGAAGTTATTCCTTGGCTAGATCCTTAATTATCACTTATTAGATTTTAGTAAATTGTTATTTAATTTCTAGTTGGCTATTTTATTTTTTTACTTTTAATTGAATTGTTTAAATTGGCACTCCTGATATAAAACACCCTCTTTGTCACTGTGAATTTGGAAAGGAACAATTACTCCCAGTCCCTGTGGATTCGACCCTGCTTACTGCTATCTACAGAAATTAAGTTTAGTTTGAGCAGGTTTTATTATTGCACAGGCTTCGACAACCTGTCAATTTTTGGAACAACAAAACGTGAGCCCTTGTTGGGCAAATTGGGCCGAGGTCTTCATTTTTCCGCACAGGAGCCGCCGCAAGGAGCACTACTTTATATAGGAAAATTGCGCAGAAAAAAAAAAGGAGCTTCTTCTTCCTCTCCGGAAGGGGGCCGCCGCACAAGGCCAGACAGTAGCAATAGGCCATTAGGATAGGAACTATTAGATTGCAGAGAACAAGCACTTTCTTTTTCTAGCTTCACTTTGACTTTTCTTCCTAGCTTTTCATTGCTTTTCTCCACGCATGTCAGGAGGAAGCAGTTTTTAGTTTTAGCGTTTGACTTTTCCATTTCGTCTTCTTGTGGTTTCTCTAGTCCGTATGTGAAGACCAAATGAAAACATTGAATTCCTTCCTGTAGCTTGTCTTTCTCCTTGATTTCTCCGAATTGAATTTGACGATGGCCGCTACTGTTGCGTCAAAAAAAAAAGAAGAAAAATGCGTTAAAAAGTGAAGGTTGTGTTAGTATATAATAATAGTCAGCTTGCCGATTTATGGATTTAATGTTGAGATTTTGGTTAATAACTGGACCATTTGCTGATAAATGTTGTACATTATTCCTTTTTCTTAGATTCGTTAACTTGAAATTGGAAGAGTTTATGGTTTAGAAGCTAACCAGGAGTCAATGTCGAATGGCATTTAAGTTCAAGTTAGAATTTTGATATACATGCAATTGAAAAAGAATCAATTTGTAGTAGAGATATTTAGCACATTAAAACAATAACTTCCATAGGGAGACACTTGGAAAAGAAAATGCGTTTTGAGATGTTTTGATGGACCAAAATATCAGATTCCATATCCAACTAAATGACTTACAAAGAGGAAAGAGGGAGAGTTGCTTTGCTGTTCCAAAATATAGTCTTTTGTCACAACCTATTCTTCATTGTAAGTGCTATCATAGGTAGTCAAAGGCAAAGGGTATCACAATGGCAAGTGTAACACATAATTAGAGTAGTGAATATTTCTCTAATGCTCCTATGTCTCAACCTATTTAGCATCATCCATATGGATTTCGACCTTAGTTTAGGATGCTTACACCTCAAGTTGGATTTGTGCATTACATTAGTAGTTCAAACATGTAAAAAAAAAGTCTCATATCAAGTTGAATGTCTTTTTTGGATAATTTAGGGGATACATTGTATGAGGTAGCTAATGAACATAATCTATATCCTATGTCAATTCTTTAATTGGGAAAACACTTCATAGAAGCTAGCACAAGTGCAACTACAAGCTCTACAATGATATGAATAAGAAACAAAATAAGAGACCTGAACAAACAATTTAACAAGTGGAAGGCAAAAAAGAAATATATTGTGTATTTAAACGAGAATTAAAAAAATTGAATGGCTATATGAAGACTCTTAACAGTGGAATCTTGGCCTAAAATGCATATAGGATACTTTAACTTACTCATCTTGGCTAGAGGTACTTATTAATATTCTAGATGATTTTTAGAGATGTGTAGGTTAGTTTAGTTATTCTTTTAAAAGTTTGTCGATTTTCAAATCATTATAGAATACATTTATATGAATTCCTTTAGAACATATTTTGTAGGTCAATACTAATTTGTTGATAAGGCTAGATAAATGATTCCAAGTAGCATTGGAATAAAATGGAAGAATGGAAATACTTGGTGAAGCAGACATATCTAGAAAATAAAGATGATTTTGTAAAACTACTACAAGTACCTAATGAAAGGATTGAACTTTAGTAATAGAGAATCTTGATTTCACATTGGAGAAAAGAGAAAATTCAAGTTATTTAAAGGTTTAACTTTTGAATCACATCTTATATGCTTTTTTTTAATCATCATGATAGGTTAAAATGAAAAAGCTGGTGCAATAGGTGCAATGATAGTTTGAAAGGATTAGAGGAACTTAGAAAATGTTGTAAACCTTAAGATACTACTAATATAAAGTTTTCCCTTTGGTTTCATTTAATGATCAAAGGATTAGAAGAAGTAGAATTGCAAGTGCAACATATAAGATACTACTATAAATAGCTTGCTAAAGTTTTCAAGTATTGAGTTAACAATCGTAGGTATATACAATGGAGGAAAATATCCTATGACTACCAAATTGTAAAAGGTATATATGATGTCAGTTTTTAAGTGTAAAGATGCTTCCAAGGCCCTTGATTTTAGTGGATATATATTGGCCATTTCTTTACCTTTTTCTTTAGAGTGACAGTTTAGCGTTATTTAGTAAATAAAGTTTCTTTTTTATTATATTCTCTGTTTACAAAACAGTTAGCTACTCATTTTAGAAGTTAAAACAAAATTCTTACTAACATCGGTTAGAATGGATCATATTGGGTCATATGGTTTTACTTAAAACCTGAGAAAATAAATAATGAGAGGTTCAATGATTAATTGTATACTTTTAATAGTATGCTTGAGATTGAATTTCAAAATGTCTACTTAATTTGTGATTCCAATAGTGAATAACTAGATACCAAATTAGACAAGTCACAACTTATCTACCATTTCTGCAATTTATTCTCAAGTACATTGTGTTTACTTGTTGCATTTCATTTTTGGGAATTTTTGTTTCTTTTTCACATTTCAATCTTTTTTATTAGTTTTTCGTTGACATTGAATTGGATGATCTTGTAGGACCTTTTCAATATCATCCTTTATTTTCTAACTTTTACTAATGGCTTAGATGCAAGTCCAAGGTCATGACATATCTTTTGTAAGCCTTTTACATGTTACAAATGGCTCTCCCAAAGATCAAAATATGCTCAATCTGGTTATAAGTTTATGTACTTTTATGCTATCAGATTCTTGTTATTTTTTATTATAATCAAATTGATTATTCTTATTGGTTTTCTTGTTCTTAACATTTGTTTGTAAGCTCAACTTAAAGAAAGTTTGTCTCAAGTGCTTGAGGAAAAGCAAATTGCGACCTTCAAGAAAAATGTGTAGGTTGAGCACTGGAGAGTAGACATATGAGGTCAAGTAAGGTACGTGGGTAAATGTACCTCATCAATGAAGGGTAGGAAGGTAACCATCCAAGAAATTACATATTAGATTATGAGAGGGGTACAAAAAGAAGTCTTACAATAGGTTAGTATAGAACTGCATACGAGTCGATCCACTCGCAAGTTGATCACGAGCAGCTTGAGTCAAAATTCGAATTGAATTAGTCGAACTCAAGTTGACAAAGTCGAGTTCAAGTTCGAACTCGAGTTCAAAGATACTCAGTTTTTTAGTTTACGAATTGGTTCAATTATATATATATATATATATACACACACACACACATATATTAATAGTAAAATTACTATTATTTTTTATTATTTATATATCCCCAAAAATTTATTATTTATTAAAAAATTACTATTTTATTCATTTTTTAAAAATAACTATTTTTTAATTTTTTAAGCTGGAGCTTGAGTTCGACTCAACTCGAATTTGAGGTCGAGTTCGAACTCGAACTTTATATTAAGAGTTTATCGACCTCGAGGTCAAATTTAATAAAAATAAGTCAAGACTCGACTCGATTAGATCAAATGTCGATTTGACTCGATTCGTTTGCTATCCTAAGTTAGAGGAAAGCCATCGCAAGAATCAAAAGACATGAGAACAAAAGCAGAATTCATTGCAAAGCTGGATTACATGCCGAACAAATTAGCCTTCTGACTACACATTTGGAAATTGATGTCTTAACCATGACTTGCATGGAACAATTGTTTTGAACGATGTAACATTGTTTGAATGGGATGTAACTTTACGTGAACTACTTATAAAATTTTTACAACAAGATGCAATTATTATGCACGGAACTCGTATAAACAATAACAGAATATCACAACTCTATTGTACAAATGTACAAACAATTTATTTAGAATTACAAAACGTTCAAAATATGTTACACCGGATGTTGATCTGACAACCGTCACTGCCTTGCGTACCTTTAACCCTGCCTTGTGGATGAGTTTTTAGTACTTTTCCCAGTTGGCAGGTAACGAAGTTTCAGGAACATCTTATGATACTATTCTATTACACTTACGTGTCTAATATAGAGCATTAGTTTTAAGCATAATAGGTCGATGCTATGTGATTTTAAGGCCCTTGCATCCGACCGATCTGCCATTTCATAGTTTTAACTCAAGTTTAGTTTCTTTGGTTAATTGGATACTTATTTTTTATGCTGTTAGTTGTAATAAAATGGTTAAAAGTAAAGATAACCGTTCATATTATCCCTTAGTAATATATACTGTGCATATAAATTTACACTACACTTTAGTATCCATTTTATTTTATTTTAATAACCCGCTCTCCTTACTTTAACAAGTATTTTTGAGTATTTTTTTACTAGCAAATAGTAACTACTCATGTAGTGGAAAATACATGCAAAAAATCAAGATCCTTTTTTTTTTAAACTAAAATACAAATTTAGCATTTTTTTCAAATTACTTTGCAACAACAAGTAACTATGTCCTTCAATTGCACACAAAGTAGGTGTATTCAAACTTTTTTAAGGGAAATTTTGAACAATAAATAGTATTTTTTAAAAATATTTTTACACGATTTTTCTAACTACCAAATGGTTAAGACATGTTTTTTCATTTATATTCTGCACTCTCATTTTTTTTGCTTTAACTTCATTTCTCCCCAAACAATTAATACTTCCAATTCTACTTAACCGTTGCAAGTACATTAATTTTGTACTTTATTTCCAGTGTCCAATTCGAAATCGAATTACAGCAGTATTTATCTAGCTACAATCTTACCATAAACATGAGACAAGTCTTAACAACTCTTCCATTCTTGTAGCAAATCTTGAGCATATCTAGCAACCACTTGCAATTTTTCATTAACATTTCCACCACAAATTAGGCAGTAGATTTTTAAGACTTAATGGGGTTAAAATGTCATTATTCTAAAATCCGAGTGCACCAAAAAAAAAGAAAAATCCAACACAGATTTGGTCCCCTTAAGAAATGAGAGGCAATCAGTGGCCAATGAGATGAAGCTATGGCTTCAAACAAGCCACACGATTCATCCAATCATACCTCCCACCTCTCATCTCTTGTCCACGTCATTTCATTGGATAATTCTAACATTAGGTATATATATCATATATTTAAATGTTGTTGTCAGTAATAAAGCTCGTTAACTAAGAGCCAGCAATTCTTGCTTCGATTTTTGATAGAAATCCGAATAATTTCAAAGAATCCATTTCAAGAATTGTGTTTGAAGGTTAAAACTTTAATGGGTTGTTCTGGTTTAGCTTAGTTTCAATCAAAGTTGGAAGCTTTTTGACAATTTTATGCATCAATGCAGAAAACTTTGAGTGGTTAATTGATACATATTAACTGTTTTTCTTCTTTAAAGTAGAAAATGAGCGGTTGGTGAGTATATATTGGTGGGATTGATTCAGGGAAATCCATCAACTGTTCTAGCAATGTTGCCTGTTTGCTCAGCCACCACTGGCTGTTCTACTCATTCACAGGTAATAATTTTCACCTTCAAATGTGATCAATCGCTGATTTTTCTATTATTTTTATTTTTTTTTCACAGTGATCAGCCTGATGAAGCATTTTTCTAGTCATCAATATCTAGGCTTTGCTGCAAAATGGGAACTTTTTTGCTTCATCATCATCTTCTTCTTGTGTATTTTTCCCTTTATTTTGGTTGCCTTATTCTCGTAAGTGTTATTAATACAGAAGACTTCTTTCTAGTATGAGAAATGGTACTGCTCAATGCAAAGGTTTGCTCTAGTCTGTGAAGTAATGTCATGACTTATTATTTTAAGTCTCTGAATTATGTTACTGCTGTTCAAACTTCAGACAAATTTAAATGACAATGCAAAATAGTATATTCTTATAATTGTATATCGGAAAAAGTCAAGTGAATTAATTGAAAGAAGGCGAAGAAAAATGTATTCTTTTTAATGCAATGGTGCATGCAAATGGCATGACAAGATTACCAGACCGAGAGGGTTGCTTACAGAGATGAAAAAGATGAGATGGAATTGACATTAGACTTCTTGCAGAAGGCCATTTTAACTAGCTTGACAATTGGTTTGATGAGGATGTATCTAGTGATTATGGTTGACAAAAAATAGAAGACAGAATCTGTGGGTTAAGATTACTTATTTGTCCCTTCTGTAAGATCATTGTCGTTGTTCTTTTAACAAATCGATTTCAATGAGGGATATGCAGTCATATCCTTAGTATTCAAATGGTTACTCTACTTTTGAGGACATAATTCTGTCTCTATTGTCTATTCCTGTCCTTACTGGACAAGTAAGTGGCAAGATGTGCATTTGCATTGTTAATGACAAAGATAGCTCTCATGGTTTCGATTCCTTGGATGAATCACCATGTCAAGATGAATATTTGATGAGTTTTAGTTGATTCCCAGAAATTGTAAGTGCTCTCTAACCATAAAAAATCACATATAGAGGACAATTACTTGTTCTAACAGTAGTTTCTCATATGACTGCAAGACTTTCAAGTGTTGGCACCATCCTTGCTTCTTAAATCCAACTCCTCCACTGCTTAAAAGAAAATGTTTTGAAAATTAAAAATTAACATTGTATGATAAATATCCTCAAGATAATTAAATTGTTGAGTTTCAAAATTAATTTGGTCTTGGACATTTTCCTTTTCTTTAATATGTTCTAACATGTATATTAGACCTGATTTACTTTCAGGTACTATAAGTAAACAATCTATAGATGTGTACTGTAGAGCATGTACACTTATGATCCTTTTGTCGACATATTCATTTTTTCAACATGAATTGGCCATTCTTGCAGATCTGCATTCATGGGGGATTAAGATCCACCACCTATTGGATAACATCTGAGATTAGATGCAATGTTGTGGACAGGGCGGTCCCTGACTTATTCAACAAAACTCATCCACAGGGAGTTTGGTTGGGGAAACAACCAGCTAAACTTTCCTACTCTAACTTTATGGATCAAAGTGAACGTTCTGGCTCTGTGGATACTATTACTAGGTGTTCCTTTCATAAGGAGCTCAATGATCACCAATTTGAGTTACTATCTAATGGCAGTTGCACAACAGGTGGAATGAATGAATCATTTGCCACCAGGGCAGGCAGTATTCAGTTTGTTGAGAATTCTGATATGTATGCTCAACAGGAGGAACTAATGGTTTTCACGAATCGGATTGATGAAACTAATATTTCACCTCAGCCAGCTAATCCAGACTCAATTTTGAGCATGGATGGCATTCAAGATGATCCTTCATTACCACCTGATACATATAATGCGGATACGGATTCCCTGTCGAGTATTAAAACAAGTGTCGTGGATGTTGTTGCTGAAACTAACAAGTCTATAAGTGATATAGTCAATGAAGGGCAAAATTTTCTGAACAGCTCAATTGATACAGTTATTTCTTCAATACAGTCTGCTTTTAGAGAAGCTAATGAAGCACTTAATAATGCCACTGGAGAGCTGAAGTCATCTACTGATAGAATTGGAGAATTAGCTGGCAGTAAATTATCCTCCTTTTCTAGTGACTTAAAGGAAGCCTCAGGCAGACTTGGGATTACTGCTCTTGATGGGCTGAGGCAATCAATAATTGTGGTTGAGGAATCTCTGGCAAAGGGTTTTACATCTGCTGCATATGGCTATGGTACAGTGAAGGAGTTGCTTCCCACAGAAATCCAGAACGCACTCAGTGCATCTGAGAACAAGTTATCAGAATTCTTGAGGCCAGTTGGTTCAGCATTTCAACAAGTATGTTTAAATTCCTCCTATTCAATAGCACCCATAATACGTGTAGTGGTTTACTAAGCATTTGATGCTTAGAGTGTTCTTCCTAATTCCGTAATTCAAAAATTAGAAATGAGATTTTCATAGAATGTTAGTTTGTTCAAATTCCTCCTCTTGAATAGCACATGTAAATTGCCATATAGTTTGCCAAACATTTTATGCTTATAGTTCTCCTCCTAATTCACTAATTTTAAGAATAGCAACTATATTTTCGTAAAATGTTAATGTGATGAATACTTATGGTACAGAGTTACCAGCTCCACTTAGGGCTGTCCAGACATTTAAATTTGGAAAAAAAAAGTTTAATTTGCATACATCATTTTGTCCCTTGAATCAATTGAATAAGTGCTAAACTTTACAATATATGAGGAACAGGGTTACAGCACGTTGCAAGGATTGGAAGAGAAACTTGGCTTGGACCCCAATGATCCAATCATCCCATTTCTTCTCTTTATTGGAGCATCGGCCACTTTATGGTATAATCATCCTCTTTCCCATGATTTTATTTCCTTCTGTTGTATAGGGGGAATGGGATTTTTCCCTCATTGAATTTATGGAAAATTATATTGCTTATCAGATCTTTGCAGGGTTTATTACTGGGTATACAATTACAGTGGATACACTGGAGATTTATCTCCCAGATCGACTTTGGAGCTCTTGACAGGGAATGAAGATGGTGTACTGATTGATATTCGGCCTGAGGCAAGTGACTTTAAAATTTTCTAGCCCTTTATTAAGTGGTCGGGATTTCCATTAAAATTAATATTATTTCTGAATAGAGGTATTCCATATAATCTTCTAAAACATCTAAACTTCCATTGAAAGTAGGCTTGTCTCATTTCCCATATTAGATTTTCCGTATCTTGCATTACATTTCCTTATATGATATATTCAGTCAAGTTTTCCATTTGAATGATGGAGTTCTTCTTTTACTATATTGAAGGACCTCAGGGAAAGAGATGGTATTCCTGATCTTCGACGAGCAGCCCGATATCGATATGCCAGTATAGTGCTACCAGAGGTTGGAGGATAGACTTAACCAATTTCTTGTCATTCTTTAGGGAAGGAAGAACAACAATTAAAAAATTATACTGAATGAAGGATATTCTATTAAAGTTTGACTTGTTTATTATGCTGTGTTCACAGTGTTTTTACTTTTTTGCTTGAATTTCAGGTTGACGTCTCTCTGAAAAAGTTACTTAAGGCAGGGAGAAATCTTGATGATTTGTTGATTGCTGCTGTTATTGGGAACTTAAAGAATGTTCAAGTATGTGAGTTTCACCTATAACCTCATTAATTTGCTAATATGTGTAGCCTTGAATTTTTTTTAACATTTTAAACACGACATTGTTCCATTTTTGGTAATAGGTGACCAATTTTTTAATGGAACTGTAGAACATTGACTTGGTAAAATTGCCCCTTAGTTTTTGATAGAATTCTGTAGAACTATGACTTTGGATTATTGCCCCTAAGTTTTTCAAAAAATGTATGACATTTTCTTTAGCAGCAGGATATTTGAAGTACATGAAATACCTTATGTTTTATCTGCGAAACTTGATATTACTGTATGACATGAACTATAGGACAGATCGAAGGTTGTTGTTTTGGATGCTAAAGGTGTTCGCTCCAAAGGAATAGCAAGAGCATTGAGGAAGCTTGGGGTTAAGGTATGTATCTTGAGGAGTATTATAAACTTCCTCAATACAGATTCCTAGTCTATTTATTAATGGCCAGTAGCTCAAATAAAACCTGAAAGACATAGTTCTCATCATACATGCTTCTCCTTTGGAGATGAGCTTTCTAGTTCTCCAAAAGTTATCTTCATCTTCTGAATTTGAACACTAGCTTATGGAAAGGTGATCCAAATTTGAGCTGGAACCTGAGAGGCTTTACAAGTATCTCAGGAAAGTTTTTAAAGTTTTGACAATCTCGAGGCTTGCACTGAACTAATTTTTTTTTTTCATTTATGTTTTGAAAGGATAACAATCAAATTATCCTTTAGTAGATAAAAAATGGTCTGGGAAATACCTTAGATCTTTAGTTGAATGCTACACTAGTCAAATTAGTTAAATGACACTAAGTTGTTGCCGTATATTTGGGCATGGATGACATCTGTTTTGGTGTTAACTGTATACTTATTGTTAATAATGCAGAATTCATATGTGGTCCAAGGCGGGTTTCAGTCTTGGGTTAGAGAAGGTCTTCGAATTAAAGATTTAAGACCAGAGACAGCTCTAACCATACTCAATGAGGTACATAGCTGCACTCCTGCAAGTTTTATGAGCTTTCTTTATATTAATTGTCTGCTAGGTATTATCTGTCTTTGGTTTTTCAAATATGAATAACTTTTTATGTAAGATTAGGTCTTTCATACGCTTTCTTTATAATTATAAGGGCTCAGACGGTGGCTGTGTAATGATTTAAAATATTCTACCTGCTGTTTTGTAGTTCTAAAATTAATTTCTTCCAAAGGTAAATATGTTGCAACAATTCAAGCAAACCTGAAAAGGGTAAATGAGATTCACTAGCAGCATTAGTTTCGTATTGAGACTATGTATTTAGACACATGAGATAGATTTCTTTCTCTCCTGCAGACCTTTTCTTTCTTCTACCTGCCCTTTCCTGCACTTTAAGTCTTAGTTTGTAAACAATTGAAATTTGGTGTGTCATCAGGATGCCGAGGCAATAATACAAGACTTCAATCCAACACCACTTCGACTTCTTGGGTATGGAATGGTAAGTTCTTTTACTCTTGTGTACTTTTTCATTGATTTCAGCTCATTAGAAATCCATCTTTTCTTGATGTTTTCGATTCTTTGAGGGTGGCAAGAGGATGGGAGCCAAGATTGGGATCCATGACCATCAAGGATCATGGTAGAGCCATCAATGATTGGGCCATGCCTCCATCTATTGCATGTTAAATCTCTTTTCACAACTTTTTCTCAATTAGTCAGTTTCTTTATTCAATATCAATGGATATCAAAGCTCTACATACCTTTCAAACTTTTTGTTAAATGTCCACTTTGATATATATGTGATCAAATCCATCAAATCATTTTCTTCTTACATTTGTAGTCAACAATCGTCTCTAGTCGATTCACTTGACCCTGGATTAAAGCATTTTTCTGCTGTGGCCTTTTTAGTTTTCAAAATGACATGCTTGAATGTACTTTTTTTCTCCTTTATGGCTAATATCTGATTTGGTTTTGTTTCTTTCTAAGCAAACTCTGGGCTTCTTTCCGCATGTACCAACTTAATGGAAAATTGCATTTATCTTCTTCACAATATCACATGAGAATTCCATTATTCCTTTGTCCTATTTGCTTTTTAGCATTCCATGTTTAATCCAAATACTATGTGGACAGGGTTTCGCTGCAGTATCCTATGCAGCCATAGGTGAGCTTTTTTTTAATCTCTCTTTCTTCCTGCAATTTGGTATGTTGTAATCTTCGAAAAGATCAAATGGTTTATGAAGCTCCTGGAAAAGGGTTTTTTGCACATTAAATTGTAAATTAAAAGTTCCGTAGATTAAAATAACTACAAATGTGGAAGACATGGAAAAGATAGTTCAGAGATTTCAAAGTGTAGATTAACTGACTTAGAATAGCAAAAAGAAAAAGGAAATAAGATCGAAGTGACTTGTTGGAGTGTAAAAGTAAAGTACACTAAAAAAGGCAGATTAATTTGATTTTTACCTGGTCATGGGGAAGAATAATATGAGCAAACTAAGCTCATAATTATTGGATTTTTCACTTGGGTGGTTTTAGTTGGATGAAGCCATAGGAGGCTCTTATCGTTTGGCACATTCAAACATAAAATCTGCGCTCTTTTGGAGATGTAAAGATCACTTTTTGGAATCATCTTTGCTCTTTTACCCTTGATATATGTTTAGAGCTCTTAACAATCACTTGTTACTTTCGCATACCATAGGCTGTATATGGTGCTTGATGAAAAAAAATACTGAAAAATTGCAGGCACATCAAATACAAAGCTATACTTGAATTAACATTCTATGATCTTAAATCCATCAGACATTATGTTACTACACTCTAATGATTGTTTTTCTCTTAAAACTGAGTACATGAATTTTCTGTGCAGAGTGGGAGAAGACACTTCAGATTGTCGGTATTATTGGTCTTGGTCAGGTAAACTACGCCTTGTCTTCAATTTACTCTTAAGTACCATGAAAGCAAATTCTAGCTACATTTCAAAGATAGCTTTGAAATTTCAATATATTCCAGAAATACAGTAGGGAATCTAATTGTGGGAACGCGCTAGCAATAGTGGCAAGAATGTTGTTAAAACCTTTTGGTTCGCAAATAAACTTGACAATCTATAAATCTTGGTTAAATTTGTTATTTATGCTTAACTGAGATTTTGTCAGGCGGCCTGGAGTTCAGCCTTAGAATAGCTTAACCATTCAACATACTAAACACACATGTTAATCAAGTTCTATACTCAGGGGCATGACAGATTAAGGAATTTTAAAATTAGGTTCGAGCTTGGTTTGTTTGTTTAACAAACATATCTCTGGACAAGGGTAAGGAGAGATTTTGAATAGCTAGGCTCATGTTTCGGCTTTAGAAGACATCAATTATTTATTTATGTTTTCTATTGAGCAAGTTGCAAAATATTAAGTATAGCTCAGGTTTGTCCCCCAATAGCCTTCTTGAAACAGTCCATTGCCAGGGGGAGGGTTGGGTTGGGTTGGGTTGGGTGCTAAGGTGGGAGGGATCATGAGTAGGAGGTCCTGGGTTTTACACAAAAAAAAGGTCCATGGCCTTTGCAAATGTGATGCTCCAACTTGTTTTTGAGATGTTATTCTCAGCAGAGATCATTGACAGTAAGGATTTCGTCTCTTTGGCATATCTCTTGCCTATACAAGCTGGTCACCATGGTGGAATGTGGTCTTAACGGATAGGAATTAGCAGGTCTTATACTTGAGTATCCTTGTGATTGGTGTATAAAGGTCCAATGGTCTTGCAAGTTGATTACTTTTGTTAAAAGTGCATTTTCACCTTCTTTATATTTCACCTAACCATAATCATCACTGACCTACAAAATTAGTTGTCGTAATTTTTAGTTTTTAAACTTTGTTCATCTAGAAGCTTCTAATCCTTCTCATATCTTCGACTTGCCTTTAATAAGAATATCCCATGCAATATCTTTTGTTTGTGTTGGAATCATTCACCAGCTTAATTATGAAAAGAACTTGATTAAATGAAATAACAAACAAATTCATCTTAAACTAGTTAAAACAGCATTCAACTTTAGTTTTCCTTTTAAAAATACAAATTTCTACCATCATTAAGTTTTTCCGGATAATCACCAAAAGTTTTATAATATGATTACATGATATCAACTATCTGAAGATTGAGACACCGGTAAGTCATCTAATATTTGACATATTGCATGGCCATATTAGTAGTGATGCATGATTTAAATCACCATAGTCGGACTGTGATACTTACTGTTTATTCCGTTTCAGAAGAAAAAAAAAAGTGCATAACCTTTCAAACTCCAACAAAATCGTATATGCAGATGTTGATGGATTTTGGAAGAAATTGGGATATTCTATCCACTCATAAAGTCGTCGAATGCACATAGGCTGGATGTTTAACCGACATTTTAAATTCCACTTTAATTCATTCATTTCCTTCTGACATGAAAATGCATCTATAGTGAAACAAATCCTGCAAAGGATAAAATCACAAGTGAGTGTCATCATCCTCTACCAGAACTTGCTTTTCAAATTAGAAAAACTGTCTCGCTCTTGTCCATTAGCATACATGCAGCATGGTTAACTGTATTGCTCCTTTGTGGTGTATTTTTTCTTCAATTGGTACCTTGGTCTTGTGCATCAAATCGCAATTTTCTCTTGCACTGTCAGAGTATAATCTGTACACTCATGAATTGGTGTTTTTAAACTGTTGACCAGAGTATATACAAGAGGATTGCTTCCTATGAAAACACTGAGGATTTTAAGCAGGATGTGAGGTAAAATCTTCCTCGATCATTGATCTGGTCATTGCTATCTTTGTCAAGTGGATTGCAAAATGTTACAGAAATGGGTTTCTGTTTTTTCTCTCTCTTTACTGCTCATTTAGTTTTATGGAAACTAAAGCAAAGATAACTAATCAAAGTCTGGACAGTAAAGGGATGTGACTTGTTTATCTAGTACTATCATTGAGGAACTGATCCTTTAGTGATTACCTGTCAAAGACTAGAAAAAAGAAATGTCCTCTTCTTCATGTATTACTGGATCATTCTCCTCCGCAAATTCTTAGGTCGAAATACTTGGTAGCTTGAAATCCAGACAATGATCAAATATCACTGATATTCTATTTTTATTTCCTTTTGCTTTTACATTCCCCCTCTGAAAGCCAACACAAAAACCTTAGTTTGTGTGCCCTTTCAGCTAGTTGATGGTCGCTTTACTCAGCATACCTTCATATTTTATAGCTGAGAAATACAGAAAATGCTCTATAAAATGTCATGCCTAACTTTTCAAGCTGAGAAAGTCAGTCCCTACAAAAGTGAAATTAGTTTTTGGTGCATTTCATGCATATGAGCGAAATTTTAGTTTGAGCAATGTCATGTTTAACTTATTGTTTTCTTGTAATTGAATTTCAACTCAAAAATGGTGCAACTTAAAGCATAGAATAAAGGGGTCAACTCTGTTAAGTATTAGAAAATGTCTGGAAACATCTTAGTAGAACCTGTGTGGATAATTTGTTTCAATGGGCATTTGATGTTTAGAAGTAAAAATTGTGTGGAAAACTCTAAAAGCTTTCTTGCTGAACTGGTTGCATTTGGCCCCATTAACATCATTAATCTCTGAAATTGATGCTGCATCAACTTGCCCAATATACATATGCATTACATGCAATTCCAATGCTCACTGGAAAAGTAAAAGTCCAAGGGAGTTTGACCTTATTTTAGAGGTTGGTAATTGAGCTCTTAATTATTATATTTTGGCCTAAGCAACAAAGGAGTCTGTGAATATGGTTAGCTAATATGCCGTGCTCCTTAAAAATAATGTCATTTTCTTCAGTTTTGATGTCCTTTTGTCCAATCCAATCAAGTGTTTACTGAGCCGATCACTTGAGCAATTTTATCTCACTTCGAACCTAATCTCTCACTTCTTGGCCAGCGCTCGAATATTCTGCCACATCTTTAGAATAAGATAGTCTCTCCTTCATCTGGAGGATTATATGCAAAATGTAACAGAATGATACATTCAATAACTGTTGTTTTATGTCTGCTTCCAAGGCTATTGCTCGCTCCAGCTAGATTAGGAGGTCAAGCAATTTCATGGGCCACTGGCAAGTTAGAAACAAACCGCAACGGACTGCCAACATCACCTTCATCTTCAGATGTTCAGAGCAGAGTGTTGCAAGCTGCTGCAAAGCACGAATCCCAACCATCTGACAGTGAAGATACTGAAAATCCATCTCCAGAAGTGACAGGTCCTAAAGAGAATATGGATCTTTCTGAAGCATAGAAGTAAAGATTCTAATGCATTCCATACATTCTGGTCGTCTGTGTTGAGTTTAATCAGCCTGTTTAGTACTGTTGCTTGTAAGATGCCTGTCAAATACTACGGTGATGTCTCATTTTACTGGACGGAGTCGGTCTACTACTGAGATACTAATGCAGATCACAGTTTTGGCTTTTCTGTCTGTTGCATAATGTGGATCGCATTCTCTACGCTCATCAAAGAATTCAGCTCTTTAGTATGAATTCTACAGATGCTCTTTGGATTGGAGGATTCAATTGGTTTGGCACAATATAGACATGCTTTGTTTATTTTTTCCCTGCTGAAAAGTTGCTATTGTCGCAAGCAGAAGGTAGCTGCCAGAAAGCCACAATCTGATCGCAGCTTCTGGCCACAACCTTCTGGTCACGAGGCTGCTAGAGAGGGAGGGGGGGGCGGTCTGAGGTGGTAGGGAGAGGAGAGGGAGGAGAAGGAAGGAGGAAGAGGAAGGTGTGAGGTGGTGGTCGGTGGAAGAAGATAGAGGTGGTGAGTTTTTTATTTTATTTAATTTTTTTTCCTAGTTGTATTTGAGATTTACATGGATTAGGTGTTTTTGGGAATATATTACCGTAGTATTGTGTATGAAAAAACTTGTTTTTGAAGAAAATGGTCAAATCAAGCAGAACCAATAGTCCAAAAATATCACAAAATACCATCTTAAACCAACGAGCATGTGTCTTATAAGATAGTAATCTTCAGAAGGATCATTTTGTCAAGTTGTAAAGTATCTGCATAACTGCAAATCTGCAATGTTTTTGCGCAACCTTTGGCACATGCAACCACGAATTTAAACTTTCTTGGAAGTGTCTCTAATTGGTCATCTTAAACAGCAATTGGATAGCAAACAATCTAAAAGAAAGAGGTCTGTGTACATCTGAGAATTAGTGAATAAAAATGCTTAAAGATTGTTTAGACTGACTACCGGTATGGTACTTTTCTCAGTAAATCTGCCTAAAAAATTTGAAGAAGCAATAATTTTTCATCTCTGATTGTAGTTTCTTTATTCTACAAGACATAAGTTTCATGCATGTCAACAAATTAACCCAAAAAAAAAAAAAAAAGAAAACCATATAATTGATTATCAGAAAAATAAAGAGAAAAAAAAAAAACAACAAGAACAACCACATAGTTGAACAATGGTACGATAATTTTGATTGCAGTTAATCCGCTGGAGCGGCCTTATAGGAGCTAAAATATGTTTAATTTCTGGTAGGCTGGTAAGAATGCACTCTGGTATGTTCTACTTAACAAGATTTATCACTTCATAGTTGATGCCCGTGAAAAGAATTATTGGACAAAAGAAAAGTGCACAGTGAACTTCTAAAGTCAATAAGACTCATCAATGTCTATACCATATGTCTATACCATTCGTGTCACCTTTTATAATTCCTATTTTTTTTACCTTTCAAATAAAGAGCAAAATGGTACCATTATCTCCCTAAAATAAACACACACACACATCACATACATGCAACATCCTCATTTCTCTAACCTAATAAAACTTCTAATAAGGTAATAACGGCCAACAACTTCCCCTCCAAATTCAAAAAAAAAAAAGCAAGAAAGAAAAACACAATTCTTTCCTTCATATTAAAATAAAAAAAAAATCTCCAACAACTACCAAAATTTTCCTAATTTTTCTTTTCAATAATTGTTCTTTTAGATTTGCACACACACACATAGGGTGTGCCCTCTTCACTAGTTCTCATTGTTATTTACAGCTGATCTTACATACTACAAAGTGATAAGCGAAAAAAATAAAATAAAACAAGACATACAGTTGTCATCTAGGTTAAATTGAGCTAATCCCACACAATATAGTGGGAAAATTGGAAAAAAAAAGAAAAGAAAAGGGGATTCTGCAAATACTATCTACAGATTTCAGCTTATTTCAGAGTAATAACGTTGAGTAAAAGAATTGCAGCCTGGCAATTGCATGCAGATAACTTGATTCTTGTCAAGCAAGAAAGGATTGTGACTGTCCTTGCCATATGCCTTGCTGATTATATCAAGAACCTAATGCTTCCTCATTCTCTTTGGACTTTTACCATCACTTCCCATTCCAAGTATTCACACTGGTTTCAGGAATATGGTGACTTCTCATTCTTTCTCAGCAATTACCACAAAAACATCATTTACTGACCATTTTCGCTTCTCATTTTTGGCTGGGGGATTGATTACAGCTCTCTCTGTGTTAGCCACGCGATACCCAATGACTATCTCTCTTCTTTGACGTGCTCGAAGTAGTACTTCATAGAAACTCAGCTCCTCCCCTTCCCGGAGATACAATTCCGCACCTCTTATTTGCATCTCATTTCCCTGTCAAAGAAACGGTGTATCCTGATATCTTGGAGATAATAATAAAGAGAAACAAATCCGTAGAATTTATAGGAAAAACAATGCAGTTCCCTCTTTTTTTTTTTGGTCTATGTTTACCACCAAAGAAGACTTTAAAAGCACTGTTTGGTTTATTCAGACTAATTAGTCATAAAGTTGGGTGTTGTCAAGCAGCGGCGGAGCTAGAAAATTTTCTCAGTGGGAGCAAAAGCAATTCTGAAATTTTTTACCTACTCTTTTTCCGGTTTTTTAAGCAAAAAAAATATTCACCAACAAGTACAAATGATGCATATATTCCATGAAAGACATAAAATGACAAACTCAAAATTATTAATGTAATAATAATTTTATTTCAAAAAGTAAACTAAATCATTTACAATTGCTCACGACGAGTTTTCATATTTTGATAACGGTTTACAATTTTTTCATTTTGAATTTCATAAAATATATTTTTCTCAATATAATTAACTAAACAATCATTCATCCAATGTCTCCCATTCTATTTCGTAACCGATTTTTTACCATATTCATAACTGAAAAAACCCTTTCTACGATAGCTATAGCAACAGACAGAATCAAAGTCAATTTTAGAAGCATATAAACCAAAGAATACACAAAACTTCAAGAGACACACTTGAGATTATATCAAAATTCTATTGGTATTATAGAAATTACAGGCCCCCACCGCCCCCACCATAAATCCGCCCCTGTTGTCAAGTGATATTTTTTTTTTCCTACACAGGGGGTGTCCGGGGCTTTGGCCCGACTAAATCCCCCTGCGGCCCGGGAGAGGGCAACCCCAACCCACTCCGGGCAACGGGACTCGAACCTGGGGTCGGCAGCCTTAACTAAGAACTGGGCGACCATCCGAGCTACCGGGGGGGCGTTGTCAAGTGATATCACTAAGGAACAATCTGATAAAAAGCTAGTAGAGGACCCTTTAGGCAATTCTACACTGTAGGTAACATCTGACAACAGAGCTATTAACTCAATCAAAATTCAATATAAGGCAACATTCCACTGGCTCGTTATTTTTAAAATATCACTGTTACTTCATAATAGATAGATTTTTCATACATAACTTACAGCTACATAAAATTTAGCATGCAAGTCTTTGTTTTTGTTACTTTGTTCTTTTAGGGCGCATAAAAGGGCAAATAGCAAATTGATGTGTTATCTTTGCACGCTTCTGTTGGGAATACTCTGCAACTCACTACATTAAAAAGTTGTCGAAGGAAAACATCACTTCTTAATTACCTAACCAAACTGTGATTATTTATACCTAATTAGTGGCTCAGGATTTCCAATTAAAGAAAAAAAAGAGCAGTTTAAAATGCACTTAATCTAGTGGCTGAAAGTAGTACCTCTTCCGCAAAAAGCTCCTCCAGTACATCATTTATTTGCCGATCCTCTGCAACCATTGCTAGTGCCATGCTGACAAGCTCGTTTGATAAGACATAGTCACTGATTTTTGACATAGATAAGAGGTTTTTAGTCCTGGGGTCCAGGATTTCACTAATTATAACCGACTTATCTGAAGCCTGCTGCATTTCCCCAATCCAGGAACCTTGTGAGAAGCTACTTCTGTGAACTTGTGAAACCATAGCTTCCCTGTATGGAAGGCGTTTCGCCTGCAAAGTCAAAAGAAAGATTAGGTCTTCCTGATTTTCTGAATCTAAAAGGCTCAAATGCTTTAAACATCGTGCAGCTACAGAAGCACGTGAGCAGTAAATCGTAATAGCATTTGGATCTGGGTCCTAATGTTGTGATCTATCACAAAGGACTATCATATCTTCCATCCTCTAAACTCTTTCATTAAGTAAAGGGAAGGTTTCAGGGCATATGGTTCTTCTCAAGACTTAATCAAGCTGGTCAAAAGCTGCTGCAAAAGATGTTTTCTTGAAAGCCATGCATGCATATGATATTCAGAGCTGAAACCCGGATTCAGAATACTGATGCACATTGAGGGTATAATATTTATAAACTTCATAGCTGACCGAATAAAAGCAATTAAAAAGTACAAAACAACTTAAATGCAAATTAATATAAAATCTTGATGACTGTGCTAGTATACATCTTACAGAAGGTAGCATGCAAGATGTACATATTGCAATTCTAACCATAACTGTCACAAACATAACGAAGTTGCTACCTTTTCTCACAAAAATTACTGTAAGAAGATATCCATCGAGAGTACATTAGGACACCATAGAAGTGATTATAAGCATATCTTCCACCCAAAAGAAAAAGGAAGAGTAAATTAGTCTTGCTCAAGTACAACCTACTATGCAATTTTGGTAAGAAGAGCAATAGAAGTGAGCAGCAAGAACTGTACACGAAGCAGCATCACATAGAATAAGAAGATGCAATTAGTGTTGAAAAGTCTAAACTACTCCATAAACCTGAAAAAGAAAATAACGGTGTTTATTCACCATAAAAGAAAGGAAAAAGTGCCAATATCTGGCGAAGCTCGCATAATTTAAGTTGGCTATTTCCTATCATGGTGCTGTTATGATATTTACCATTCAGTAGCAAATTAAAATAAGAAATTCGAATGCAATAGATTCTTTAGAACCTAGACGTACTGTTTTAACAGCCAGAAATATAGATTGACTATGATTGATGGTATAAATGCAGAAGAAGCAAATGGAGAGGTAGATGAGTCAAATATGCGTTTAAGTGTTTCCAAAAATACTAGACTTAATCTATTCAGAAGTAGCAAATGGAGAGGAAGATGAGTAAAATATGGGCTTAAGTCTTTCCATGAATACTAGACCAGAGATTAAGTTGATAAATGACAATGTCTGAGCAAAGTACCAGAATATCACGGATAAGAAGCAATGTGGCAAGAGATCTGGAATCAGCCTGGATTGCTGAATCTTCAACTGATTCATCAGCTAAA